TTTTTTTATTTTTCTTTTGTTTTTTCTCTTTAAGTAGTAAGAGTAAAAAAATATTAAATTTTATATAATATATTTTATTTATAAAGTTATTATTTTATATAAATATAAAAATATTTAATAAAAAGATAATAATATAATATGTTATATTATATTATTATGTTATATTATATTATATTATTATATTATATATAATATGTTATATTATATAGTTTAGTATATATTATATATATTAAATATATTTAGTAAAAGATTGTAAATCAATGAAAAATATTACATGTGTTGTAGAAATAATATATTAAAATTTGAAACAATGAGATATATAAAAATATTTTTTATTGTAATTTCTGTATGTAAAAATTTAATTGATTTATTTTAATCTAATGGAATTTTATTAAAAAGTCATTAATTTTTGAGTTTTTTTATAAATAGTTATTATAATTAATATCTTATTTTAAAAAAATAAAAATATTTTATTTTGTAGTTTTTATATTTTATCTAATGTTTGAATATTATTAATTTATTTTAAATTATAATTTCAGAATAGCAGAATGGCAGATATAGAAGATACTCACTTCGAAACTGGAGACTCTGGTGCTTCTGTAACATACCCAATGCAGTGTTCTGCTCTGCGTAAAAATGGGTTTGTTATGTTGAAATCTCGACCATGTAAAATCGTAGAGATGTCAACTTCTAAAACAGGAAAACATGGCCATGCCAAAGTACATCTTGTAGGCATTGATATTTTCACTTCAAAAAAGTATGAAGATATTTGTCCATCTACGCACAACATGGATGTACCATTTGTTAAACGAGAAGATTACCAGGTACTTAAAAACAGTTATATAAAATTAATTTATATTTGAATAATATTCCATAGAATATTTTATATATTATTTATATTTCATATTCTATTTCAGTAGAAATTTTTTGAAAAAATTTTTGAATTTTTTGAAATAATTATTTATAGAATTATTTCATTATTTTAAATAATATAGTATTATTTTTTTAATAATATGAAATTTTGTTCGTTTATTTTTATTTTTGATTATCTGTATATACATCAATTTTTTTAACATGTAATATAATTATTTTTACTTCATAGCTAGCAGATATATCTGACGATGGCTATTTATGCCTGATGGCTGATAATGGTGAACTCCGTGAAGACTTGAAGATTCCTGATGGTGAACTGGGTGCTCAATTACGTGCTGATCATGAGGCTGGTAAAGAACTTCTTGTGAGTATTTTTATTTTGTTAAATAAATAAATAATAGCTTTTTTTTTTTTTGAATGTTTTTTGAGATATAACTTAAATTATATTAAAATATTATCTGAATTAAATTAAATTATTTAATCTGAATTAAAATGTAATAAACTTAAAAACTCACTATAATATAATTAGTACAGTTCAAAAATAGTTATAGAAATCTATGCAAATTTATCATAGATATGATAAAAATTAAAAAAAACATTCATTAATAAAATATATATTTACTTTTTATATTTTTCCATTTTTTTATATTATGAAGTATATTATAAATTTCAGTATATTTTGTATATATATATATTGTATATAAAATATTTATTTTGTTTTTTAATTAAAGATTTTATTTTTTATAAAATTTTTAGATTTTTCGATTAAATTATAGATAATATTAAATTTATGTTAATTATAATTTTATTATTTATAATTTTTAATTATAAATTTTAATTTTTTAATTGATATCAAAAACAATTTATTATTCTTATTATTCATATTATTCATTATTAAAAGTTTTTAAAAGAAAAAGATTTTAAAATCTTCAATTTTTTTAAACAAATAAATTTAAATTTTCTTTAATAAAATATTTATTGCATATTATTACACAATTTTTAAATGATTAATCTGAAATTATATTATAAAAGAACTATATCCAATCAAATTATGAAATCATAGTAGAATTTATTAATTGTAAGGATCTTTTTTATTATTTTATAATAAAAATAATTTAAATATCTTATAATAAATTTTTTATAATAAAAATATTATTTTATTTATATTTAGAAATATTATCATTATTATAATTTCTTGTAATGAATATAAATTTATATTGATAAAAAAATGAAAAATAAAATATTAAATTTTTATTTTTTCAGTGCACTGTGCTGAAGGCATGTGGTGAAGAAGTCGTAATCGCCATTAAAACTAACACTGCCATCGATAAATAATTGTGTTCAGTCCAGACTCCACCATCACATTAAAGAAAAAACAAAACATTCAGTTAACATATTATTAAGAGAAACCTAAGATACAATACAAGATGATCAGTGGTTAATGTAAGAACTATTACCAACAACAAATAGAGAAAAAAGTGAGGATCACTTGAGAAAAGAATAAGAAGAGGAAAGAAATGACAAGGAAAGATAAAGAGCCAGACATACAATTTAAAAAACTGAAAGGAAGAGAAAAATGTGCGTTAGCATATATAGTTGAGTAATTAAAAAACAAGTGTGAAGGAGGAGGGGATTACAAATAATGAAATAAATATAAAAACAAAACAAAAAAAAAATAAAAAAATGAATAAAAAGAGAATAAACCAAGAAACAGTATCAGCTTAAACTTGAAAAATGGATGTTTTTGGCGGCTTAAAATATCGGAATTAAAAAGCAGTTTTGATAGTGAGAAATTTCGAAAAAGAACTATTTCATCTTGATTTGATTTAAAAAATTTCAACATGATTAGAATTCTATTTATATTGGAATTCCAATTATTTTTCAATAATATATAATTTTATTCAAAATATGATGAAGATTTCAATATTTTCAAAATTTTAATTATCTAAAAAATTTTTATTTCCTTACAATAATTTCTTTGCTCTATATATACTTCAATTGAAGCATCTTCAAGTTTGATTTTTTAAATTTTTTGTTATACTTAAATTTCAATTATATTCAAATATTCAAATTAGAATTCCAATTATATTAGAACTCTATTCTTAGTATATCCCATATTTATTAGAATTCTGTTTTTTTTTTTCAATTCAAGTTTGTCACTTTTTTTATTAAAATTATATGTTTTAGAAAATCCAATTTAATCTAGAATTATCTTGTTTCGGTTTTTTATATCATTATAATCTTTGTTAGAATTCTATGCCATTGACATATTGTTAAAAATATTCATGTCTGAAAATCCCTAGAAATTATTTTTTTAAAATCCTTATCTAGCAATAATCTTACAAATTTTCATTTTTTAAAATTAAATTTTCAATTCTTTGAATTTTAGGGAGATATATCAATAATCTTAATTTGATAAAAATCATTACTATAAGTATATATAAAAATATACTTTCTAAATTCATATAAAAAATTTAAATGTTTCTTATTTAAAATTTAAAATATAATTTTGCATTTTTAATTACAAGAAATTATATTTTAATTACAAAGAATATTCAAAATTGTAAAATTTAATTTTTTTGCATAGATCTAATGGATTTTTTTTAATTTCTTATAACTGTTAAGGGTTTTATTTAATTCATATTATAGTACCGTTTTGTATTTAACAGTTTTTAAATTTTGATATTTTCAAATTAGAATCAAACTTGATAAATATTAAACTCTTGAATTCTAACACAAAATTTTAGAATTCAATTTGAATTTCAAATTCCTTACATATAATTTAAGGATAGTTTCAAATTTGAATTTTAAAATTTTAAATTCCACTTAATTTTTGATTTCTGACTAGAAAATTTGAGTTATAATGTAACATTTAATGTTACATTGAATACTCGATTTCAAGATTATACCATCTATGAAAATGTAAGAAAATTTAAAAAATATAAACAATGAACGATAAAAAACAACTAAGCTACTATAATCTAAGCAAACTAATAATTTAAGATTAAGACGACCTAGATAAATGAATTAATCGATAAAAAAAAACTGAAATAAAACGAATCAATCGGCCTCACGGTCGTATTTCAACCATGAGAGACGGAAACCTTTTTTTTCTGCTTCTCGATATTTGGTTTAATTAATTATACACCATTGCTGGTCATTAATTTGAATTCTAACAATTTTTAAGATAAAGATAATTTTCAAGCACACAATAAATTTAAATTAGTAATTCTCTAAAACAACATGTGAAATAATATTTCGAGAATATTATTCTTAAAAATAATTTTAATATTAAAAATCTTATTTTTTAAATTATTAACTATATATATATAGTTGGTAAGTAGTTATTAGTATTTATGTATCAATAAATAAAATCTAAATGATTAATAAAAATTATTTCAAGTAATATGAGTATATGCTAATATCTTAAGATATAATTATCTTAGTTTAAAAATATTCTTGAAATATTATTCTTTGATTTTATTATGCATTAAATTAATGTGCAAAATGTTAAACTATAATACGATAAAATCTTAATGTAAGAATATATAGATATTTTTTAAAAAATAACCAGCATTGGCGTATATAGACAAACAAATACTATACATGAATACACATATACAAATACACACTGTGGTAAAGTACATGAAAATACACAAGTATATACGAAAGTACACAATTATGAAATTCGAAATAAAACACAAACATAAAATATAGAAAATAAATGAATACCAGGAGCATTTGTTTATACGATGGAAATCAATGAAAGATAAATGGATAAATAAATGAGAAAAAAGCCTTAGGTGCTTTTGTATCAACCTTCGACAATATTTTGTTCTCATAATGATATATTATGAAAACTCTAAATCTTAATGATTTTGCAATTTTTTTATCTTGTTAATTAACTTAATATTACACTCATTTAAGTTAATTAAAAATATCAAAATTTAATTGAAATTTTTATCATTTTCCTTCACAATTTCATATTTATATTGTTTAAAAATTTTACTTTTCAAAAGTTTACTTATTGTGTTAAAAATATTAGTACAAAAATTATCAGAAATAGTAATTATAAGAATACAAATTAAATTTAATAACATTAAATAAACAATTCTATGTAATGAAGAAAATATGTAACATTTTTGTTCGAGTTCAATTATCTATCAAAATCAATCAATTTTCATTTTATAAAATTGAAAATTAAAAAACTAAATTTTTTAATTTAAAATAATTTGAAACTTAATGAAATTAAGTACTTAGGCAGAAAATTATTGAATAACTTATTAGAAGTTTATTCGCAAATATTCTCTTTAATATTGCTACATTTTAAAACATTAATACTCTTATATTTTGTATTTTTATTAATAATTATTAATGATTTAGAAAACATTACGAGTGCCATTATACATATATATATTTGGCTTATATTTATATGAGCATATATAATATCACATACATACATATAAACACACATATACATGGAAATATATTAAAGATATGTAACACAGAAAATGTGTAGTAAATATGTAACTTTTTCTTAAAAATTTATTTGTTGTAAAAATAAGATACGTTCATACAAGTATAAAACATATTTTATATCTACATGCATTACAAGTTGTATATTAATATAGAAATGAATAATTTCTTAGAAAATGCGAAAAAAATATAAAGATTATGAAGATTTCGTACGTTTGCATCAAATTCAACTGAGTATATATAATGATAAATTTATAAAATTAATAAAATATAAAACTATGACAATATACAGAAACTTCATAACAATGCTTTATAAATTAACATTAAATATACGAATATATTCAAAATAATAATAAAGTAATATAAAAAAATTATTTAAAGAGATAATACTCAAACATCTAAATTTCTTTATAAAGATTTGAAAACAAAAATTTTAAGCATAAATATAACTTATGAATATTATTACAAATCGATTAGTTCAATGATTAAATATTAATTTAAAATGTTACATACCTTTAAATACATCTTATATATATAAAGCTTAGACACTCGTAATGTCTCTTAATATTTTATTCAAAATTTCGACATAATTAATAATTGATATTCAATTATTTATTCTTTAATTCTTCTTTAATTAATACTTCAGGAAAAATTCATCTTTACCGTTGCACCCTGCATATCACAGGAAATTGTCCTTTATGTCATAATAATTGCAACAATTCGAATTTTAATTTCATTATTATGATTTCTTTGTTTTTTCTTTTTTTTATTAACACTCTTCACAATTGAAAGAAAGCTGATCTTCTTCATAAGATCAATTATTTGCATTTCTCCTTTGCAAAGCTGCCGCGAGATCCTGCCTGAGAGCAGCTTGTTGTCTTTGATCAGCTAATGATTGAACAGATCTTAAACCATTTACAATATCTTTTGTTTTCCCGAAATAGATTTCGTTTAGCGTATTTCGGATTTTATTTTCCATATCTTCAACCATACGACCAATATTAGCAATATGCGGAGAATTTTCACTTATTTGAGCATCTTGTTCAACCTAAAGAAAATTTAATTGCATTTAGATAATAATTTAATCTTGAATTTTAATAATCACACAGACATGCGTGTGCATGCATACAGTATCCTATAAATATGGGAACATCCATTAACCGATTCCCGAGATAATTTCAAGCAATATTTTCTTTTATGTAAAAATTTTATGACTTTATTAATAAATTGTTAATAAAAAATATTAGCCAATTATAGAATGCATAGCCTAATCAAATTGCGATAGTAGCATTGGCTACATGCCGTCGATTGAATATGAACAAGTTTAAGTAACATATGTCGAAAAAAATGTATTAGAATAATACATTTTTTTATCAATAAAAAATTATATCAAATATTATATCATGAACAATGAATAAATTAGTTTATTATAATAAACTTAATAAATATTAGCTTATAATATTTTTTGTTAATAATTCATTAACAAAGTCATAACAAAAATTTTTTATAAAATGTTGCTTGAAATTACTTTAGAAATCTCTAATTAACGAATTCTATATTTTTGGAATATATTCATTGGATATTATATAAAATATTTTGCAACATATAATATTATTAAACAGGATATAACTATTTATTATAAAAAAAAAATAAAATAAAATTTTTTAAAAATTTCATTTTTGAGAAAATAGAAAATATATCTTAAAGTATACATAAGATTTCTTAAAATAAATAAAAAAATAAATTTAAAATAAATATTTTAAAATAAGGTTTTGTTTTGAAAATGTTTCAAATATTGCATACTTAATTTTTATTTACATAAATTAAATTCTAATAATGTTTAATTTCTTTTTGTTTATACTTATATTTGTAATATGATTTATATTTTAATTTATTTTTTAATATTTTTGATTTCTTATCAATACAAATAAATAAATTTTCCTCAAAGCAGGGCAGTTTCAATAATTTATTTTGTTTTACATATTTATTAAAAAAATTAAGGAAAATAGCATGTTTTAAGAATTCTTTTAGCTCAAAATTTAATGAAAATATTCAAACATTTTATATTAAGTTCTAATTGAAATTTATTTTTTTCTGTATGAATATTCTGCAATCTTAAATTTAAAGATACATATTAATTGGCCTTTACAATAAATCTTTTTAATCATATATTAATAATCATATATATATATCAAAATAAATAGTAAATAGATAAATAACTTATAAAATTATATATATTATTACTATTGTACATACTATTAAATCATGTATGTAAATTAAGTATAATTTTTTAGCATCTCATTAAATCCATTTAATTTGTAAAAAATATGAATTGTTTTGCATGGAATCCAAGAATCTAGTTATTTTATAAAATTTCTTATACAAATATATAAACATCATAATTTATATATTTATCACAAAATTATTTACTTCTTTAATAGAAAATAATATTCAGATATAATTTTATCAGATTATTTATCTGATAACATTAACATCTAACAAAACATCCTGTATAAATGTTAATTATAATTAATTATAAAAAATATTCACAAACCTGTCTAGTAAGACTTCCACCAAGATTCATTGTTCCAGATCCATGTTTATTAGTTTGTAACCAAAGCATTGCAGTAGAAGTTAATTTGTAATGTGCAATTCTTCCACTAGATTTTTCTTGAACTTCCACTACATGAATTGAATCCCAACAACCTTTAATTTTCTTTGAACCATCGCCTGCTTTTTTAATCAATATTACTGCTGCAAAACCATGATCTAAATCCCAGAGATAAACAGAAGAAACTCCACCTTCAAAATAGAGCTCTCTATATTGATCAAATGCGTGATTTGCATCTATCTCTAATTTTCTAAGTCTTTCAGAAGGCATTGAGCCATCTTCTAAAGGAGGATCATATGTATTACTCCAAGGAGATCTAGAAAATAATTTTATAATAAATACTATATTTACAATATTTTAAAATTAATAAGATATAATAAAATAAATATAATAAAGAAAAAATATAATAATATTGCTAAAAAACAAAGCATTTTTTTATAATTACCTATAAGAATCTCCATCTCTATTATAGTCACAAAGTAAATAATCTTTTCCAGATTCTTTATCTTTTGCAATTTTTAAAGGTTGATCAACAGAAGATAAAAGATCTTCACAAAGAGATGGCACTAGATCTATTAAATCACTTAAATTCTTTTCAATTTGCTGGGGTGGTAATCTTCTCATTAAATCTAATGCACAATCCATTTGCTGCTCCGTCTCCAAAATTAAAAATTAATTCAATTTAATTTTTATTTATTATTAATTAGAATATTATATTTTAATTATTTTTTATAATATCAGTTATATATTAAATCAAAATAATTTTATATATCCATAATAAAATTAATGAATCAGATCATAAAATGTAATTGATTTCATTTTTAAAATTTTAGAGTTTTAATTCGATATAAATAAAAAAGCGATAGATTATAA